GCCCAGAGGCGAGCTCAGTTCACAGCCGGCCGCTAGGAAGCGGCACGGCAAGTAACGGTCCCCGCACCCACGGCGGCTCCCCTCACGCTCCTCCCAGCCCGGCCGGGGGGCGCCGGGCACGCTCCGGGGGGCGGCCGCCGCTTGCGGGGCCCTCGGGGGCGGGCGGTGCCGCCGCCCTTCCCCGCTCCCCTCAGCCCCGCTGGCCGCAGGCGCCGCCCGCTGAGGGCCCGCGGCTCCCGGCCGGCCCCTGGAGTTACCGGTTGCGCCCCGCCGGCTCGGCTCCGACGGCCGGGACAGGTGGGTGGCGCTGAGGGAAGGAGAGGGGCCCGCCGCAGCCGCGGCGTGGAAAACGGGAGGGCTTGTGCTGGCCCAAGGGGAAAAGCGCCTTTGGCGAGCGGAGGGTACAGGGCGGCAGCGCCTTGCCGCTGTTCAAACTCTCCCCGTGGAGGGAAAGTTTCTGTAGTGGGAGGTGTTGCCCAGGGGAGGCTGTGCTGAGGAGGCGGAAAGGAGGTGAGACATTGGGGGCAAACCTAGCTTTGGGGCGCCTTCTTCGCTGAAGAGGAAATCCTGCCTCGCTGCACCTGTGGGCGGGCACGGAGGGGGGCCCTGCCCCACCGGGGCGGTGCCGGGAGCCGTGAGGAGGGGGCTCTGGGGTGGCGACCCCAGAGGGGCAGCGCGGGGTGCCGCCTCTGAGCCGTGCCGCCCCCCCAGCCTGCCGTGCCCAGTCTCCGGCTCATGGAAACCCTGTGACATAGATGTCAGCTCTGGCTATGGCCCTGTGGAGCTGACAGCGACCTGCACGAAGCCTCTCTTCAGCCCTTTTTCTTTTTCTTTCCTTTTTTTTTTTTTTTTTTTTTTTTTTTTTTTTTTTTTTCTTCTTGGGTCTTTTCTCTCGGTAAGCCCAAACTGTTGATTAGGATTCCCTGCAGCAAGGCACAAATTAGAGTCGTTGCAGGGTTGCTTTTCTGGTTTCAGCCCGGAGTCAGGCGAGAAGAATAAAAACAAAACAGCAAAGCGCGTTGCAGCCTTCTTTCTGGTTCAAGTACCTGCTTTGAAACTGAGTTGCATTTTAATCCAGTTGCTGCTCTTGGTTCAATTAGTGACCTAAAGCTGGTAACCTCAGCACTCTGGCTCCATAGGTAAAAAGGAGTTGGTAACGTTTACCTAAACAACAGGTGTTTGGGTATTCTTTCTCTTTAAAACAAACAAACAAACAAAATCCTTTATATCTTGGTGAAGTCGGTGCCACAGAAGCATTAAGTATTACATGCTGTAGTGGGTGCGTTTGAAAACCATAACTGAAATGCTGATAAGGCGAGAAGTTTGTAACACACACTGAAGTCTTTTTGCAATATGGGGGTGAAAGTGGCAGTAAATAGTCTGGACAGGTGAGACTTACTCCCTTCCCAAAGCAGCTTCTTAGTCTCTCTCCCCCTCTCCACAGGTGTGGTTTGCAGTTTAACATAGTTTCAAAAGTCATAAAATCTTCTAAAGATGAAGGTTGGCTACTCTGTGGTGTATATTCACTCTTTTTTCATAGTAAAAGGAGGCTGTAGCAGAGTAAAAAAGAGTATTTAACATCAAAAATACTGTGTTTTTTTTTTTTTTTTTTCCTCTGTAATGGTGAAAGTGTTAATGGCAAATGATCTGGAAGTGAGAGTAAACTGCAAATTCAATGAGCTGATAAGATGATATGGGCAGCAGCAAAGGGCCAAACAGAAAGTGGTTTGAGCTGCATTTCTGAAGGCTTTGTGTTACAGAGAAGGGAGATAATGTTCCATTATGCTGCTCTAGCTGTCTCCCTAAGAATACTATATTCTGTTGGGACCTGAAACCGGCATGTGAAAAAGATATCAACAAAGCAGAATTTGCTGAAGCCAAGGGTAGAAAATTTAGTTTCTGAAGAAAGTACAAACTACAAGACTTAACAACTTGACAGAGGAACTCTGAAAGAAGTTCTGTCAGAGCAGAAGGATTTTGACTGAATGGGTGAACAACACTGTACGTGGAAGTAGAAGGAGGAGTAATGGAACTTAATTCAGGCTGTAGCAGTGAAGGAAGGGAGATGGCAATGAGCTCATTGGCATTGTAGAATAGTTTTGCTTTGGAAGCAATAATGATCTTGTGCTGAAAAAAAATCATTGATCCCAGGAGTTACTTCTATATTCAATTTGACATTGGCAGGGTAGGAATTAAGAGTTAAAAATGTTTTCCATTGATGACGTGTAGAATTTGTATATATTTGTATCGAACTCTTTCGTACTGATTAGCCAATATACAGTAAAAACATGCTATTTTGTCCTTTTTTCTGGTCCTTCTTGGTGAAGGTCTTTTTATCAGCAAAGAAGTGATAGCATTTCTCTGCAGTTCAAGTATTTCGCTTGCCCAAAGAAAACGATAAAGGGTTATAGCAACCATGACCTCGCAGGTGTCTTTCTGTGCGCCAAAGCACACATTCTGTTGCAGATCAGAAGTCAAATAAACTTTCAAGCAATCTACTTCTGAAATGACACGAATGACACAACCTTGCTGCTGCAGTAGCAGTAATTCAAGGCTCTCCCAGGAGCACATCTACCATTGCAACTAAAATACATGATGAGTAATGCGGCCAGCCTAACAAAGTGGTAGCAACTTGAACAATTGGAATTTCCATGACTTGTTTCCTTTCATCTTAATTTAGCATTGACTCTAGTGGTTTTTATTTCATTCACTTGATGGCTTTGCACTCCCGAGCGCGCAGTTGTAGCTTTCCTAAAGTCTTTTCGCTGTAATACCACATGGTCTCCTAGCATATGTGAATTGTTTCCGCTAGTGTAACGCCTCTGACGTTTTGGAGGGATGGCTTTGCCCAGGCTCTGCGGCATTTGCTGGAGGTTGCAGTATGTTTCTGCGCACAGAGCTTGCTGGCACCGTGGGCCTGTGGTGCCTGGTACCCATCCAGCTTCCTCACAGCTGCTCCTATCAGTCACCTGGGGACAACTCTGGGGGGGCTTTGTGAGCTCTGGACGAATCTTTGTTTTGCTATCTGAAGAGAAAATGTCACCTGGCTCCTGGAATATGTTGTGTTGTGTGTTGTTGTTTTTTACCTTTAAATGTCATTCCTCACACCAGTGGCCTCATTTGACTCAGCATAGCTCCTGTCTGAAGGAAGGGAACTGTACGCACGTCACAGGTTTTGACATAGCTGGAGAATGTAGGAAAGAAGGCACCCCAAGAGAAACAAAATGCTGTTATTTGAGCAAACAAAAAGTGATTTTTGGAACAGTCTAATAGGTGGTTATGTAAAGCAACTAAAACCTAATCCAAACACCACAGGCTTCTGAAAGCAGGAGGGTTGTCTACTATGTATACGCAGTTCATTTCATCCTCAGGTTTCCCAGAAGGTTTTGTGGAGGTTTGTGATGGTAGCTTTGATGGCACGGTACCTGCTGCAACAGTCCAGTTCCCTGTGTTTGCTCTGGATACTTGACATGGTGAGTGCACCTGTGTGTCTCACCTCTGAAAAGAAGGCAGGATTGAAATAATCACCTGGGTGGATCACTGGCTTTCTGATCTGCCCGTAGCAGGATAAAAGGCAGACAAGACCAATGCTGAACATCCCCTCAGGTGAAGCTGTGACTGCAGCTCAAGCTTCTTTGCTGTTTGCAGTTCTCCATAATTAAATGTGGAGCTTTCTGAGGGCTGGCAGAGGGGAAACAAAAACAGGAGGAAAGGACTTAAGCCTGGAAAAAGAAAACTGTGTACCTGACAGTGGTTGCATGGACACATGAAAGAGGTCCTGCTGTGTCGAAAGGCAACGTGGGCCAGGATGCAGGCACATTCCCTGCACTTTCTTTGTAAAAGTGCCAAGCTACGCTGAATGTTTCTGTGGACACAGACAGAAACCAAGGCAGTAGAAACAAGTGTCCTCAGCTGAACATGTCATTCAAATGTGAGTGCCCCTAATGAGATTACCACTTTAGTTTCATAGCACCCAACCCAGCCTGAAGGATCTCACAAACCCTTTCACATGTCCTAAACTGATAAGCACATGGCATGTTGCGGATGTCAAAGTAGGATAGAAGCACATAGTGTTTGATTAAGCAGCATTTCTGTTTCTTAATGCTTAGGTCTGTTCAGCTTGCTGTCTGTGCAGTTTTATTCTGTTACAGTTCTTGCCATTTTTTAGTTGGTTTTTGGTTTTGTTTTTCAAATGACTGAAGATTTAAGTACAGGAAGGTAGAATGCATGGAGTTCATCATACATATAAATGTAACCTCTCTTCTAATATTTATTTTTTCTATAACACTTTCTTTACTAGTGAAACGATGGCTTGTCATCTTTGTTTTACTCATGTTTTTCTTATATTTTTCTGAACCTTTGAAATGGAGCCAAAAAGGGGCACTAGAAAAACACAGTGAATTCCTAGAAAAAGGACAGGAATAGTGCAGTGGAAATTTCTCTTGTGTTTGCCTGTGATCTTTTCAAAAATAATAATAATGAAAAAAAAAAAAGCAGTATCTGAATTAAGAGGCCTACAGGATAAATGAAAAGGCTGAAAGTGGCATGGTTCAAAGTGCAAAAAGTCCCTTTTCTCCCCCCTCTAAGTCATCGTTCAAACATCACTGTTTCTGGCCTCATACAGAGATAGCTTACAGACGTAGTTCATTTAAACATGTTCCATAAGTATTTGTGAGACTTTAACCTTTTTTCTTTGAAACTGTGCCTTGCTATAGTTTTGGTTTGCACCGGTTCTACTGTCTGAGTCAAACCCATGTGAATTTCTGTGGTTTGATTTGGACCTTGGACTGAAAAATGTGGTTATGTGGTATAGCCTACAGTCTGTGGAGCATAATTATTTCCTTGTACAAATGGCTTTTCTGCCACTCTGCATGCTAAACAAACTAAGACGTATGTGGTTTTGAAAAATTATTGATCAGCTCCACAGATAAAGGCTGAGGCCATGATTATGTTTGCTCTCTGTAGTTTCACCATCAGTTTTCTGTGACATTTTAAGATGGGTGCATGGGCAGACTGGCACACTACCAAATGGAGCTCCCTCACTAGTGCATTGTGTGGTTTTGGTTGTCTTTTTCATTATCAGAGGAGAGCCCGTGCTTGTTTTTCACCTTAACGTAATGGGAATTTCTTTGTAATGTGAGGGTGAAAGCAAGGGTGCTGCAGAGATACACTTGAGTGCTTCTGGAGCTCCTGCACATGTTAATGACTTGAAAGTGGTGAGTGTTATTTAATGTTTATAGCTTTATCCTAAGAGCAGAAGCTGTTTATCTTTTTAGTTCTGCCAGCAGCTTCTCCCCTTCCCTCTTGTTCTCTGTGCTTTAGTTATTCCCAGTCTAAGGCAGAAATGTATCCCGTGTTACCAAATAAGGGTTAAAACGTTTTTTTTATGGAACACTGAACACAAATTCTATATAAACCATGAAAACTTATGGAGTGAATTGAGGAAGCAGCTAGTTAATTGTATTCTTAATTGTCATGCCTTTAGAAGACTTGTATCAAAACAGTATGACAAGTCTGTGATGAAACTATGCTTATTCCATTTAAATTAAATGCTGCTTAGAAATAGCTCATATTTCTATATGCATTCCAAGAGAATACATTTTAATTGTCCCTTGAGAAAGTGTAGGCTATGGAAGCAAGAGCCAAAAATGAAGTTATGAAGTTTTTTTTTTGTCATGTGCATAGTAGGTACTTATTTCAGTTTAGTAGATCAGTGTCAGAGAAGGTAAACACACAGTTTTGGTGTTTTATTTTTGCTGTGTGTATATATATATGTAAGGACTTGTTTGTAGTATGTTATGTATCACTGTACAATACACATGTTCTGAAGCAGAAATTACAACTGGTTATGTAAGTGTTTAATAGATTAGAAATGAGATTTGTATGTTTGGGATTTTAGCATGGGATTCTATTTGCATGTTTTATTCCAAATGTGTTTTGCCCATGAAGTAACTGAACATGAAGAGGGTCTTGAGAAGCCTAGAAAGATCTGTCCCCCCCTCCCTGGGGGCTATATTAGACCTCTGAGTCATGAAGTCTTTGCATAGTAGGTGTCTGGTTACAAACCTTTTATGGGCCCTACTCAGCTGGGATATCAGCATCTGCATTATAGCTCCCATCTATTCTTAGGTGATATCCCAGCACGACTGAACAGGCAAGGCAGAAAGAAAATTGCTGTCATTATATAAAACTCTGCCCTCTTCTTACTGTGTCTTTTCACCCCATCACTCTACCCCATCCTTCTGTTCTGCAGTGTCCTGGTGCCTTGTGAAGGAGGTACAGGATGGCTTACAACGTGACTCTGAATGGACCTGGACCATGGGGCTTCCGACTGCAGGGGGGCAAGGACTTCAACATGCCCTTGACAATCTCCAGAGTAAGTGAACAAAAAGCCTTGTTGGGCTTGTTTAGGTTGGAAAGTAGCAGTAAACTAATTGTATGTACGCTCCGACCTGGCCAAGTAAAATAGAGGATCTTTGCAGCTAGGTCTGAACAAAGAATCGGAGAATATAATGTGGACTCCAAATACACAAATTCACAGCACAGCCTGGCATTGATGCTGTCTCAGACATTTCTTGTTTGTATATTTTTAAGAATGATGATGCTGTCTCCTTTTACATGAGCTTCCAGTTCTATTTTGTATGGTGTTTTCTCTTTTTCTACTGACAGGGGCCTCGCTGGTGCTGTTTTGGGGGAAGAGAGTAGAACAACTATGAATGGGAATACAAAATAGTACTTCTAGAAAGTAATTATGTAACTGCTTGTCAATATGTAAAGTCTAGGTCTGTTCAAAGTGGGCAAAGATAAGGATATATGTCCATCTCTTGGATGAAAATTAGGCATGTCAAGCAGAAGATAGTGCTTAAAATGCAGACTTAAATTATGCAGAAGCCTTCCACTTGTAGCTGATAAACAGCATGTGACTTAATAATTAATTACCTCATGTTGATTATAGATAAGTCCATTTATTTTCTAGCCATCTCTTCCTCCACCCCCAAGAAATTGTTTTCTTAAATTTATTTATTTTTTAAACCACGGGTCACTGTAAAGAAATTCAAAATCATTCCCTTTACTATTTTCTGACCAAGCTAGATAGTTCTTTGTAACTTCTGGTTTGGGAGATATCTGCTTTATGCTGCTTCCTACAGCTTCCTCCTTTTTTGTCAGTCTCAAATCTATTCCAGAATGTTGAGATCTTTTAGAGATGTCTTTGTTCCTCCGCAGACCACCTGCAGAAGGCTTATTTTGCAGAGCAATGACAAGAGAGGTTACTTACATAACAGTGTTTAAAAGGAATACCAGAATGATTTAATCAGATAAACAAATAGAATGCAAACAAATGGTCTGCTCCAGTGGGGGGGAGCCACCTACACTGCTTTGAAAAGTTCTTTTTTCATAATGAAACAACTAGTCTGTTGAGTTGTAGGTACCAAACTGAGATCCCTGCAGCAATTGTGATTCAGAGTCATCTGTGAGCTTCTGCAACCTTAACTATCCTATTTCATATTTAAACTGTAAAGCTCTGTCTTATTTGATCTCCCTTACTCTAATATACAATATTCCTTTTTCCATAGAGACATATTTACCTTAACACTAAGTCCTATAATGAGATGACCATTTCATAAACGCTTTTGCAAAAGCAGTCTTTGTTCTTCAGTAATTGCAAAGGAAGCTGTTCTGTCTGTGTTGTAATGCCACACAAAAAAAAAAAAAAAGAAAAAAAAGCGTACAAAAAAATAAATCTACTTCGTACACTTGTATTAATTTCACTAAGATTTTTGGTATTTGGTAAATAGTTTTGGTATTTCTTTATTGCACCCAAATTAAGTACAGAGAGGTACCAACATACTTCTGTAGGCATTTTCATGACATTTTGCAGCCTGCACTGTAAGGTGTTGATATTTTTTTGTAAGTAATTCAATCACAGAGTCTGCTATTCAACATCTGGGGCTATGGCACTTACACTTGCAGAAATGAAAAGACACTTCTTTCAAAGCGAGTCCATTGTCACAGGTTATGATCTCATAAGGTACGCTCCTTGTGCCTGAAGGCGATGTGATTCTGCTGGGGCCTTTGAGAATCGTGTGATGAGCAGGAGTGGAACTGCAATGGTTGGATTCACAGAGGTGGGGCGGAATTACCTTTTCACACAGCTGGATGAATTTCTAGCAATAGAAGTATCAGAAAGCACTGTTAAAATCTTTTGAAATTGTTAATGTTAAAATGTTGTGAAATCTTCCTCGGTGAGGCCCAGTTCTTAGCTGAGAGGATTGCTTTTGGCTCAGATTGGGTTTTGTAGCCTGCCTTAGGGAAAAAGCAGGCATTCAGGAATGAACATAGCTTCTTTTAGGGAGGGCTGGAGTAGGAGAGAGTTGTGATATTTTTAATTGGAACACAGTGTTAGACATGGCTTTTGCCAAAGAAAAAATAGACGTTTTAAGGACATTATCATCTTTTAGATGAGTATATCTTCAAATAGATCAGATATTCCCATTAGCAGCAATTTACAGTCATAAGTGAGGTGAGCTTTGTACTCAATCATAATTGCTGTCTTATGGGGAGAGAAAAACTGCTTAAATTTCCAAGGTATTCATGAGGAGAGAGGAGTCAAAAACAAGTGGAGAAGAGTTAAGGTCACTCTGCAGTTTTCACACTCCTTTAACAATGGAATTAGAAAATAATCTGGGAAGACTTCAAAGATATTTTTCTAGTCTCCACCCCAGAAGCCATCCTACCCTCTAGAACAGATTATTTCATGAGATGTAATGGGCAGGTACCAGAGGTAGGAGAATAGCACCGGCTGACTCTTAGTGAAGCTGAGCATCTGTCACTCCTACTGAAGTGAATGGGACTTGCAGGTTGTTGGCACCGCTAAGAGCTGACACAGGTGGCCTGGTCATATGTGCAAATCTGGTCTTCCAAAATTAATGTGGGCAGCAAAGCAGTTTATTTTCTCCTACTGCTGGCATGAACTGTCTGAAGCGAGCAGAATTAATTAATTTTATAGACCTAATCCTGCCTAAGAAGGCTTTTAAGTATAGTTCAAGTGCTGTATTGCAGTGTTACCTAAGGTGGTGTGATTGTACATGGATAGATATGACAGCAGAATCTCTTTGTGTATTTGTGAATAACAGCAAACTTTTCTAGTAAGACAGACTGGCTTGCAGGTGATGCAATGAGCTGAAAGGTATGCAGAAATATCGCCCAAAACAATGCAGTAGCTTATGATTGGTACATTTACTGTGATTGTCCAGTCAGTTTTTTGTTTCCTAATAGAGAGATAGATAAAATAGATTTTTTTAATGTTGCCTGGGTTCCAAATGAAAAGTCAGAACCTGATGCCAAAGGAGACAATGTTTAAACAAAATGTAAGAGAACTATTTTGGCTTTATTCTGTTAAGTAAAGAAGTAGTTGGAATCTGGCCATGATGTAAGTGCAATGAGGAGAAATGGGAAACACAAATAGGAAAAGATGCCTTCTTAAAAAGATGCTTTTACTAGCACCTTTTCCTGATTATGGCCTGTCTTTCCTCCATTCCCTAGAATACGTATGTCATCCTTTCACTGTGACTGCTTTTCCGTCAAGGAACTATGTGATAATATTTATTCTGTACTCCCATTTGCTTTATTACATATCAGGTATCAGTGCCTTACAACAGGCAAGTGATGGGCAAAAGGATTCCTTCTTGGCTTTTTTACTCTGTGCTTGAAGGCAGGGAAACCTCAGGTGCAAGCAAGAAGCATTCTGCTGCTGTCATTTGGATAGCCATGTGGTGAATATATATTGCAATCAGAAGAGTGAGCTGTACCTGCATTGATTGAACTAAGGACATTTAACAAGCTCATTTCAAACACTGAGTCCGTGTCACATGTTAAGCAGCCATGTGTGGTGAATCTAATCACTGAGCAGTTATTGTTCTAGAGCCAGAACTCCAAGTTTTTGTTTCATCTCCAAATGTGAAGTCCTTCACAATCCCCAAAGCCACTGATTAGTATTTTGAATCGTTGATATTCTGTAAAGCTAACAGGTAAGTCTTGTCTTCTAAAAGCCTTCCTTTCTAACTCCTGATGAATAGAGATGTTCCCCTTTTTTCCCAAAAAATCTCAAATGACTTTGAATCAACTTCTGAGAGTAGGACTAAGTCATTGGACTTGAATATAAAGACTGTCTTATGGCTCGATAAACTGTGGTAACTTCTTAGCACAGGTGGTTTCACATTCTTCCTGTCTTCTACAGTTGAACTTCAAATAGTTCCTTGTGACAGGGAAATGAAGTGCTTCCAGCGCAGCTTTGAAGACCACTCCAAAATTTTCTTATCTGTAACACAATACCTATTTTGTGGGCATCAATATTTCTTTGAGATGATCTGTAACTTTTAGATCACTTCCTGAATGATCCAGTCATCCCATGCAAAGTCATACAATTCTGACTTTTATTATGCGTAGTCATTTGTTGGATGTACAGATGTGTTGGTAACATGAGAGAGCACTAGTTACTTGATGCTCTCCAACTATTCCAATCCAATTATGGTGTGTTTACAGCCACAGTTATCGGAAATGATTGCATTTCGGTGAGCCTTAACTCTACAAGTAACTCCTAAAACCCCTGGTTTGGTACTGTTTATCTGAGGTATTGCAGTAGTCAGCATCCACGCTGTGAGTGACAATACGATATAAAGGGCAGTTGTTTGATATGGTTGCATCTCTCATCAAGCATAAGTGGCAAATCTGTATTGTACTAGGAGGGAAAGAGCTAATGCTATAGCTGTATTCTATTTCTCTGGCCCAATAAATACCATGGGTTCAGGGGCCTGGGGATCAGAACATTCCTGGGTACTGGGGTCTCCATTCAAGGCTCCGCTCTGAATAAAGCAGAGCAGAGATTTAAAGCTGGCTGTTCTGGTCCTCTGGGAGGTAGGGCGGTAGATATTCTGAGGTACACAACTTTCCTTATCCTGACCACAAATACCCTGCAAGGTCTGAGGAGTAATCACAATGGATGTTTCATGTAAGCTGCCAGCTAACTTATGCGATGGTTTGTTTTTTAACCAACATGATTTTTTGGGGAGGACACAAAGCAGTTTCATCATAAGATGTCCTCTTTTCCCCTCTGGGTAAGCAATCACGATGTAAGTAAGAAGATTTTGTTATCTTCCTTTCAGAAAACACTCTGAAAAATCCACATGGCTTATTGTTGCATCCTTAAACTCAGGATTTCCAGTGGAAGAGTCTTTACTGAAATCTCAGCATCATAATGCAATGTGATTTGAATGTGTATTATATTCACCAAGTAACTTTCAGGAAGGGTATGGAACTAACGGCAGCTCTTGGTCTAATTTTTCCTTTAAAGCAGGGATGTGTACGGAACAAAAGGCA